AAATTGAACGATCAAACCTTTAAACAGTTAGGATCGTCTCAAATTCCCATCTTGGTCAAACCTTTAAACAGTTAGGACCAAAGCCAAAATCCCCTCTCGATTCGTTCCATGAACGAGAGGTCCACAAATTGAACGATCAAACCTTTAAACAGTTAGGATCGTCTCAAATTCCCATCTTGGTCAAACCTTTAAACAGTTAGGACCAAAGCCAAAATCCCCTCTCGATTCGTTCCATGAACGAGAGGTCCACAAATTGAACGATCAAACCTTTAAACAGTTAGGATCGTCTCAAATTCCCATCTTGGTCAAACCTTTAAACAGTTAGGACCAAAGCCAAAATCCCCTCTCGATTCGTTCCATGAACGAGAGGTCCACAAATTGAACGATCAAACCTTTAAACAGTTAGGATCGTCTCAAATTCCCATCTTGGTCAAACCTTTAAACAGTTAGGACCAAAGCCAAAGACCTGAATACTCCAATAGGTACACGAGTCTAAACTGTTTTCCTACCCTCAACAGGAAGTTTCTGGAGAATATTACTCAGAATATTCTTAAGAATAACCTGAATACTCCAAATAGTATCAACTTGACGACAAGAGCTGATTTCACAAGTACAAGTTCCAGCTTTAATTCAAGATCTCTACAATGGACAAGCGATAAACGCGATGCCGGGAAGAATCTTAACTATTCTACAAAGCACTGAATAGATTGAGAGACAAAGAGATCAAAAGTAGAAGCCACCTACGGGTTCCTCTACACGATCTACTCAACCAAGCATTGAAAGGATCGTAAGTAAGATCTATCTTATCCAAAGCATCCCAGAACTCCTCTATAAAAGATTGAGTCTGGAATTCTTTTACTGTTTGGAGAGACAGTCTTTTACTGTTTGGAGAGACAGTCTTTTACTGTTTGGAGAGACAGTCTTTTACTGTTTGGAGAGACAGTCTTTTACTGTTTGGAGAGACAGTCTTTTACTGTTTCGCAAGACAGTCTTTTACTGTTTGGAGAGACAGTCTTTTACTGTTTGGAGAGACAGTCTTTTACTGTTTGGAGAGAGCGAGACAGTATTTACTGTCTCGCCGTGCGAGACAGAATTTACTGTCTTGCACGTGAGACAGTTTTCAGATGGTCAAAACTACCTTTACAACTGCCCTACACGTGGCCACTAACTGTTCAAGAACGTGGGAAACGTCGTGGGCGAGAATCACGTGGATAACTGCCAAAATAACGGAGTTTGAAACGTGGGAAGGCAGTTAAAACGAAAACTGCCTGCGGTTACTGTTTCCGAGACAGTATTTACTATCTCGCGGGTCGAGACAGCAAACACTGTCTCGCCGAGACAGCAAATGTTGTCTCGCGAACCTGTTTTCTGCCAATTGTTCCTAGAGGCTATATATACTCCCCGAAGGCTATTTTCTCAAGTGGCTGATACTTCAGAGCAATCCAGAGCAATCCAGAGCAGAGAGAGAGCAGATGTGCTGATCTTACGGCCAATCCTTGAAATTGAGCTTTGACTTGATTTCAAGAAGAACGACTATCTTACATCGATAAGATATCGTTTCAATTTCTCACTTCGATAAACGAAGTCAGAATCATAAACCCCTCACGGTTCAATCAGAATCTGTGACTTGGTGGTCCACGAGTCAAAGTGCTCCCGGCACAGGCAAAGATCCCACGAAAGCAGTGATCCAAACAACGATCCTGCGTTTATTTTCTCAAGAGTTGTAATTTTCTTTTTGTTGTGTAAAAGAGTCTTATAAAAAGGCTGTTTTCTTTGAATTTATTGTAATCGACCGAAGATATAATGAATTCGACAACAAATTCGACTTTTGGCGAAAACATTGGTGTTAAGCATTTTGTGTGCCGCCCGTAATCCATTTGGAGTTCCAAAATTTGAAACGGGATTTTTTATGTTTTACTCGGATGGAATATCAGAATATACTGAATTGATAAAGCAACACCCACAACAATCAAATGTTGTCTTAGTTCTTTAGGGGCTAACGCTGAGTTTGATTTTGATGGCTTCTCCTAGATTGGACTAAGTCAAAGTTCTAACATATAAAAGTGTCATACGTAACTATTCGATAACCAGGAACAAAGTGTTCAGCGATCTTTAGCTGCGAGCAGCTGCTGCTGTTGGTGGTAGATCGGAATGTCAGTTTGTTATAACAATAAATCAAACAAGGGTACCTCACCTCTCAACAAATCAGAGTGGCGCAGCGGAAGCGTGGTGGGCCCATAACCCACAGGTCCCAGGATCGAAACCTGGCTCTGATAAAAATTTTATGAAGTCTTTTTCCATTTCTATTTTCTTTCTCGAATTTTTTTAAATATGTTTGGCGGGCGAAAACTTGGCGGGCAAAAAAATATTCGCTCCCCGCCAAAAACAGCAACCGCACAATCCCTCTCGTTAATCAAGGCCAAATTACACTATTCCCTTCACTTCTCTCTCGTTAATCGCATAAACATCCGGTCCCAAAAAGAGAGCGGAAAAAAAAAACCCTTAAAAATGTTAGAGCTCAGGCTAGTCCAAGGCGGTCTCTTGAAGAAAGTCCTCGAATCCATCAAGGATCTCGTCACCGACGCGAACTTCGACTGCTCCTCCACCGGATTCTCCCTCCAGGCGATGGATTCCAGCCACGTGGCGCTCGTCGCCCTCCTCCTCCGATCCGAGGGTTTCGAGCACTACCGCTGCGATCGTAACATTTCGATGGGGATGAACCTTAACAACATGGCCAAGATGCTGAAGTGCGCCGGGAGTGACGATATCATCACTCTCAAGGCTGACGATGGGAGCGATTCTGTTACCTTCATGTTCGAAAGCCCAAGTAAGCGATGATTTATTTGATATTCGGATTAATTTTTGAATTTTATTTTATTTTATTTTAGAGCGTTCGTTTGTTCTGTTCTGTGAACCGTGAGATTTTTGGGGGAAGCCATAACTTTGTTCATCTTTGTGCTGAACAGCTCTAGGGAAGATTGTTTTTCCCCTGCTCACTATAAAACGTGAAATTGAATAAGGTTCCAGAATTTTAATTGAGTTACATTCTTAGACCCAGTATTCTTAATAATTTTGTTCCTTTTATATTCTTAAAATAATCTAGGTGTTTAGGCATAAGTACTTCTAATTTATGGGTTTTCTTGATCATGTTCATGTGTGGCTTATAGTCCCTAATGCTTACACTCTTATATTCGTTGTGTATACGGGATTTAATAGATCAAGATAGGATCTCTGATTTTGAAATGAAGCTCATGGACATCGACAGCGAGCACCTGGGCATTCCTGATGCCCTGAGTTCAAGCCTATTGTGAGGATGCCCTCTTCAGAATTTGCAAGAATCTGCAAAGATCTCAGCAGCATCGGAGACACTGGTAAAATTTTGTGCTGAGTTAATCCAGGTTTCAAAAGAAAGAAGAAAAAAAAAATTCAAACTTCATTTTGTTTGAAACTCCTTTAATCTGGGGTGCAGTTGTTATTTCGGTGACTAAAGAAGGTGTTAAGTTTTCGACAAGAGGAGATATTGGGAGTGCCAATATTTTTTGCAGGCAGAACGCAAGTGTTGACAAGGTATCTCTTTTATTATGAGGCTAATTGCAGATATTACTATTAGGGGTTATTTGTGTATTATATTTAATAAAGATAGGCGCTTGACTGATTTATCTCTTTGTTATCGCTACTTGTCATGTACCTATCATGTGGATGTCATATATGTGATGTATAGTAATAAATCTCTCGATAACCATCCTTGGGTATAAGCAAGAGCGTAACCAGAGTTTGCTTGCCCAGGGCAAGAAACTCCGCCTCTCCCACGACCTCTCCCTCCTCCCCTCGCTTCCCCTCCTCTCCCGCCACTTCACCTCCCTCTCCCACAGATCCAACCTCCTCTCCCTCCTTTTACAGTACCTCCATCTCAACAATCCCCAACCCTCCTCTCTCGCGCCTCCCTCCTCTCTCTCACGACGTATTCATAGACCACATTTATTTTTTGCTCTTGTCCAGGGCAAAAAATAATCCTTGCTACGCCACTTGGTATAAGGAGATTTAAGTAGCAATTGAAATATTATTTACTGTGTTGCAAAGAGAGCTTTAGGTTTTTTAGGGATTGATCGTAGATTCTCTGGAAAAAATCCTGGATATATCAATAAGTTAAATGAGTGCCTAACTCTTGGCTCTCTTTTTTCTTTTGTTATTGTTGATTTAAACAGCCTGAGGAAGCAACTATTATACAGATGAATGATCCCGTGTCGCTGACATTTTCTCTGAGATACATGAACTCCTTCACCAAGGCGACGCCTTTGTCTGAGGCAGTGACTATTAGCCTTTCGTCTGAGTTGCCTGTGGTTGTTGAGTACAAGGTAGCAGATATGGGTTATATTAGGTTTTATTTGGCCCCCAAGATTGAAGATGATGAGGAGGAGATGAAACCAGAGAGCTAGGTCTTGCAAGCGAATTTTAGTAGTTTTAGTTTTGACTCAGTTTCTATTGTCACTGTTTCACCCGTTAGTTTGTTCTCTGTGCCCTAATTTGGCTAACTACTATTTTGATTGTGGGTTGTAACTTTTTGCAATGTTCCCTACTTCAATGAAGCTGATCTTTTTCTCTTTTGAAACATGAAAAAGACTCTAATTTGTAATAACACTAGATAAGAGGGTATGGCTGTTTTTGCACCTGTAGTCTATTTTCTGAGAAACCATCTGCTATACTATGTTGGAAAAATATCATCCTACGTCCATTTCAAAATCATGCAAATCAGTCTCATAAGCATTTACGTTTCAAGGATAGGCGCTGGGAATTTGTTGGCCGGTTCTAGTCTCATGGAGGACAAAACGACTCCAGGCCTAATAATCTTCGGACATTGCGAAACACTTGCGTGTCATTTCATAACCTCAAATGTTGTCAGCTGTTGAATGTAGATAGGATAGAAGCATCAAAACAAGTTCGGCACAAGGATAAAAAACAATCTACCATTCGCCCTTGATGAAACACATACCACATAAAAGGAGAGAAAAATTCCAGCACATTAACAAGATGAATCCCATCAAATAACCACTTTTACAGTATACCATATCTTAAATTTGGAAACAACTACAACATTAAAACAAGCCAAATATTGCACAAAATTCACAAACACTATTGACGTCTGAACCTATAACAACTATGCAGAAAAGGAAAAGTATTTCCAAGAGGATACATCCATTGAATGATAAAAAAACACGCCAACTTTCCCAGAAAACGGAAGGCATTTGAGATTTGAACCCAGAGCTCCTTTCTTGGATTAATCCTGCATCTGTATCACCTTTGGTTGAATAAAAATTAGTGATTATGGAACGCAATGTGTTCAGCTCCACAGCATCTACAGCAACAAGCCTCACGAGAGCCTCTGTCTTCTCTGTTAACCAAAATTGTGAAAAGGATAATCCGCAGCCAGGATCATGGCAACTTCCAGTTTTCTCCAGCATATTTAGCTTGGCTCCCAAGTTCTTCCTCAATCCTAAGTAACTACAACAAATTAAGAAAAATAGAAATTGTCATGAGAAAAATCTAGAATAGATAATAACCCAGTCACACTGGCACAAGACAATCTAATCCTCATCAGCTGTCCCATGAAAGTAAGCTATCATAGAATCCATGACACTATAGTACTTTTTATTGCAGGTAGATTATAGAGTGCGCCAACATTAAATTAATTTTAACTGTGAAAGTGCTATGAGGGAATACTCGAAGGTAAGTCTACAGCTGGATACCACAGAAAGACACCTGGGCAATATGAAGTAATGAACATATGACAAGTAAATGAAAGCCTTGCACAACCTCTACAGATTGGTAATGCAATGATCCAGAGCAAGAGGTACTTACATACATTTAAATTTCTTACAGGCAGAGATCAAATATATAAGCTGGTATTCCAATGGCATTTTCTAGTAGCCTTAAGATCATGTTCAGTCACAAAGGCAGCAAGTATAGGAGGAAGTATCATGTAATCATCAAGTAACTGAATGACTACAGACCTTTGATAGTGTGCACCTTCACTCAAAACCTGTGGACCCCCGCAACTAAACATACATTCACTCAAAGCATATGGACCTCACAAGTTAACATCAGAGTTGGTGTGCACATGCAGCACATTCACTCAAAAGATGTGGACCCGACAACTTAACCTTGTCTGATGTACATCCTGCGATAGTGCAATAGGAATGCAGAAGGCATCATACTTTATTATTGATGTTTTCTTGAACAGACGAGAGTTAACATGGTCATTTGGCATATGATGAAAGGCTAAAATCCCAAAGGCACATAATAAATCAATGTTAGCGAATAGAATATGGACCTGATTATACTTCACTAGTCGCTCTCCACGACAAGGAGCACCTGCCTTAATTTGACCAGTTGCTAGACCAACTGCTAGATCAGCAACAAATGAATCTTCTGTTTCTCCGGATCTGTGAGATGCAACCACTCCCCACTGGGCATCCTTTGCTTGTTTCACAACTTCTATAGCCTCTGTGACAGTTCCAATTTGATTTATCTGAAAATAAATAAAGCTTTCTATCAATGTTATAAATATAATGTCATAGAATATAATGTCATAGCTAAAACTGAAAGTTGGAGACACAACTGGGACAGCAATTCTTATTTCTTAGCAAATTTAATAATAAGAAGTTTTAAAAAATGGCCTGATAATTCTAGCTCCTAACATCAAACATTACATTAACTGAACTTTAGCGCCTACAGGTCGCATGGTTTAATATAATTTCTTAATGATCTTCGTCGAAACCTAAAGTAAATATATCTGAACTCAGGGTTGGATATTGGGAGCTGTTGTAATTGTATTTAACTGATTTTAGCCTTGTCAGTTCCGGAGTCCTTAATAGCTCCAGCTCTTACATTAGTATAATAGTCTCTGCCAAACCTGCCAAAAATTCTAATAGACTTAGACTCCAGCATATGTATCTCCATGAATGAACAAGTATCTGGAACCTTCACTCAATTGGACGTGAACTCGTGAAACAACTTCAATATATTTCAAATTTCAATTACTTCCCTTATAAATATTAAAGAAAGCCTCGACACTGCTAAATATGCAGATAAAGAAAACAGCATGCCTGCCTGTGATCCCAACATACCTTGAGGACAAGAGAATTGCAAGTTGATTCATCTATTGCCCGTTCTATACGTTTTGGGTTTGACATCAATAAATCATCTCCCACGACCTGCAAAACTATTTTGTCAATTGCTGAATCTATATTAACGTGGAAATTTTCATAAAGCACGACAGACCTGACAGATTCCAAGGCCAGAGAATAACTTTGTATGCTCCCAATCATCCTTATCAAACGGTTGCTCGATGGAGGCAATTGCATAATCTAGAGCGGAAACTGTATGTCAGAAATCGCCTGCTTCAAATGCATTGATATGAATGAAGGAGGTCCAATAAATACCTGTACAAAGTCTGGTGTACATCTCAATCATCTCTTCTCCAGTTTTGAAGTTCTGTCCAGACTTATTTGGAGTTTTGAAGTCCAAATCATACTTCTTTCCTATCAGAATTAAAACCATGAATCAATCCAGACATGTCAAAAGAAAACTATGCTCTAGCAAGGCATGAACAATTTAAAAAACATGAACATAAAATATATGGTACAAAATTCCAACTTAAAATAAAAGGCATAGAGAACAATGTAAACCATGATCAACCGGAACTTTTCAAATCACTAAAGGAACTAGTTTAAATGCTGCTGTATATGGTAAACAAATGGAGAAGTGGTATTTGTTCATTGTCATACTATCTGAATCTCTCAATATATTATGGCTCATACAATCTTTCACTAACAGAGAACCATATGGAGAGTGCCAGTTTACCTATGCAAAATTCAGTAGCAGCAACATCTATTGCCAACTTAATTTTATCATTATATCCTGCTCTGTCAATGGCCTCTTTGACAAGATCCAAGCCATCGGAAAAGCTGGCAAATCAAAATAAACAGGCCTTAGCAGGGGAAGCAAATACGATAAAATTCTGAAACTAAGAAGATAATATATTAACTGAGTTGATATAAGTTTGAACTATGAAGATATTGCATCTAGTTACTGAATGTAATCTATTAATCATTAAAATATATCCTGACTAGACTACCCAACTTTAACAAAACAACCACCAATTCCCTTAAAAAATTATTTTAAAAAAATTATTTAAAAAAAACATCCGGAATAGCTTCTGAAACTTGGAACAATGAAGTAACAAATAGGTTCTTACGAAAGAGATCTGTTTTACACTATGACAAGGTTATGGCCAAAGCTAATATCATTCACAAGACAGGACATCATAAAGGCAGTAATACTTGCCTGGAAATATCCGGTGCAAGACCGCCAATATCACCAACATTGCACCCATTGGAACCACACTTTTCAGAGATAATAGCCTGTTCTTCCCAAGTCAGACAAGGTGAATTTAGTAACAAGTTATGCTAACGTACAACAATAAGCAGCATATCAGAAGGGTTGTCAAGTGGCAAGCTTCTGGGACTGCCGGACCCTATGTTACATATTTTTACCCAGGCCTTAATTTTCTTATCCAGAAATAAACGGAATCCCATGCCTGGTCGAGCACATTAACACCAATTACCCTAACCCAAAAGTTCTTTAATCTTATTTGTCATTTAAAGGTCCAATAACTAGAATGGAATATGAATGGCTTAAAACTCAAATAGAAGTAAGCTGTGGTTGATTTAATAAACAAGTTCAAACAGCCAGTGGCAATTATTGACATGTCCAAAAGGTCGCTCATTATAAATATGCTTGAAAGGCCTTGAGTGAACTAAAACGATAATGCTTCACTATAGCACGGAACTATAAAAAGAAGGCAGTGGAAAATTAAAAGCTTATGAGTCTTGCAAATGGATATTCTAAAGGTCATCTAAATAGTCTCTTGATAAATTGGTCATTTCAAGGAAGACATCCTGTATTGATCTACGAATTTAACTAATTCTCAAGCTAGGTCTGAAAACAGAAGCACCTATATAGTTCAAAAACAAGAATTTGCCATAACATTAAGTGAAATACTATGCAATGCAGCGAAGAATGGTTCATTCATCACAAGCAATTCATAAATAATCATATAAAAAAGGTGCTGATACTGTTTATCTTCCCATTAAATTACCTTAAGGTGATGATAGGTCTCAGAACCCATCTGCAGAGCTTCCTCGAAGTTATGAGCACCAGTTGGAAGAATCATGATTTCCTGGAGTATAACTATATTTGGTTAACCAACATTAAAGCTTAAAATATAATAATATTCAAGCAGCCATCCAACGTTTACAGATTTTGTAAAAGATGAGCAATAAGCACAACTTAGAAGGCAAATAATCATAGACAAAGCTTTATAAGTAAAACAAAAAGGAAAACGGTGAAGTGAGAAAGTGAGTGTGGCTTGGGGCCCATGAATAAAACTAATGTGAAGAATCCTGTTAAGTTTGACCTACAGAAAGGAGTAATGAGGTCAGAAAACCCCAAATCCATGCTGAGGCAGATCAATTGATTTATCTGATTTCTTGATCAATTTGATCGGACATGTAGAATCTTCTTCATTATAAGAGGATCCTCAAGAAAACACGGTTTATATCAAATAAACTATACACTTCAACTTCTGTGTGCTATGACTTTAGCTTATAAACATAAAAGAACAATACACACTCTTTTGCAAAGATTAGGTTAAGGTTATCAGAATAATTCTTTACTCAAGAGCTTTATCCTCCAGCAGCCCATTGTATGCAGTGGGCTTAACAGAGCCTAGTTGCAATTCCGAGTGAAAGAATAGATAATAGCAAGCATAGCAACTAGCTTCCCTAGCTTGCTTTCCTATCACTAGAACTCCCGAATAAGTAACTTGAACTGCTGAATTTCTTTGTCCTTAACCTCACTCGACTCAGCCTCAGGTTACCCACAGCGTCTGTGCCGGCTACATTCTAAGGTTCAGATTTGTCTGCCTATCCTAGGTGACCATCTTCGTCTACTACAATTATCCGAGTGTAGCATAGAATGTGGTACAAGTCTCACCATTATTAATAAAGTTGGGAGCCGAAAATAGATTATGACATGGACCAATTAGTTATTTTTTTATTTTATCTGTGAGCAATTTATCCCAAGTTTTGGATTGAACTGATCCATCGGCACAAATTGTTCATAGGATATACCTCAGCTCACATCCATATAACTCAGCTTACATGCAACAAATAATATAATGTGAGATATTTTTTAGCTTATACATCTCAATCAATGTCAATCAACTGTCTAATAGGAAATTGATTCCACATGACCATAGCTTTCAAAACTAGTAGCATATTTATGCATATATTGATGCTCGGGTGGTATTATTGAGAAATTGACATATTATGCATCTCATGCCCTTACATCAGAAGCCTCGCTACAAAAAAAAAGTCATGTTATATTATGAATGGAAAGCTACTTTGATAAAGTTGGCTAAAAATGGAAATGTGTTTATGTGCACCCTTTTCTCTTCATCATGAAATCTAATTAAGCCCCTCATTTTTTGCCACTCAGTTCCCTTTTTAACCTCCGTATTAGATCAAATAATCCATCATATAACAACAATGAAACTTATCAGAAGACAAGCATAATGGTAGGACTTGAGACATGTGAATTCTAAACGCAAACATATGAATTGACAGGAAAAGTTAAGAAATATCATATGGAGGTCAGGACTTGAGACAAACAAACTGAAGGAGGAAAGCAGACTAGCTGCCCATAAATTACAGAGAAACAAAGAAAGCATAAACAACTTTATCTGTAGATGACAATATTCTGATTGCCAAAGCAAAAACAATTGAAGTAGCAAGCTATTAAGGATTCATGCTTCCAGTACAAATTGGACCATAAAGTGAATTACAGTTTAGTCGATGATTAAGCTTGGTAAGAAGGTGCATCTAGACACCAAATATCGTGAGGCTGTTGGGCGGCCTTCAACAGTTGGAAAATGAAGCCCATGTAGAAAGTGTGGTATCAGCTGATTTCCATGACTAAGTAAATACGGCAACAAGAAAACTACTTGGCAAAGTCACAATTTCTTATTTGTGGGCTTAAAAAATCCAGTCAATACTCATCAATCCCCAGATATCAAAATGCAAACTCTTAAGACACAAATCCAAAACTTGCATATACTTCTGAGAAGCAAAGGTACTAACAGAGCATTAAGTTATTGCATACGAAGACCTCTGCTAAGCAACTAATGAGAGAAGTCAATGAAATATGGTCCTCATAGGCAACATAGTTTAAAGCAAATTGTTACTTTAAAAAAAAAATCTGTTACATTATGTCTCCTTTATTTACTTCCGAGCATGAAACACCTAGCCTTCGCCCTTCACAAAGCTCAAACATTTTAAGATAACAAGTCCGACCCCCGCCCCAGACACACACACATAGCAGAAATGTACACATCCCGTATCTTAACTCTCATATAAATCAATTGAGTTGGTTACTATTCACTGGATGGGTAAACAATCCAGCTATGGACACTAAAGATTATCGTTTTTTCATAAAATACTGTTTTCCCCTGCCAATAGGATCTGGATTATTATATCAGGGGAGAGAAAATACAGGTTGAAGCTCAATCTCTGGCTTGACTTTCATTTGGGAAAATAAGCAAAAACGTATATTACTCAGATATATAACCTGGATTAATAGATATCATACTTGAAGGGCAAGGTTGTTCCCGGCATGTTTTCCGCCACTAATGACAGTAATTGCAGGAACTGGAAGCACTGGATCATATTTACCAGAAAGATCAGCAATATGTTTATATAATGGGACCTGAAGAGTGCAAACAATCAAAATGCATTAGAACCATATGAACAGGGAAAATAAACAACTAAATAAAAATAAAACATGTGCCTCTTTTTCAGCAGCACCAGCTTTGCAAGCAGCAATTGAAACAGCCAACATGGCATTTGCTCCAAGTTCAGCCTGTGGAAATACCACATGCCTGTTATATCCATTACCCAGATAAAATAAGTCACATAATATATGCTCAAACATTCATAACTACAAAGAAATAATGTTTATCATGATTCATAACAATGTATTTTTACAAACATGGCCGACTAGTAGGACATTAATTTAGTAATAGGCAAAAAATATATGTACAAGCCTCATTCTACATCATTAACAGGATTCCAACTAACACTAGTTGAAGGCAAAAGATGATAAAGAAATGAACAAGATGAAGTTTCAGGGATCTCCTTTTAACATAAATAATTTTCACGAGTATTAGCAAATAAATCCAGCAATAATAGTCTTAACATAAAGAATTTTCTCAAGCCAATGTTCTATCAAGAAAAAACATAGATGTCAAGCATAAGGAGCACTTACCTTGTTCTCCGTTTTATCCAAATCCATCATGGCTTGGTCTATCTGTGTTTGGAGTGTTGGGTCCATGCCTATCAAGGCCTCAGAAATCTTCTCATTGATATTCTTAACAGCTTTTGAGACACCCTTTCCAAGATACTTTGCTTTGTCGCCATCGCGTAGTTCAGTAGCTTCATACCTGGGAAAAGCAGATAAGATTTGTAAATTTATCATATGCAAGCTTTTTAAATGTTTTAAAAAAAACAGAGAGTAAAAAAAGCAAAATGTATCAAAGTTTATAACAGGAAAGAATACTGATGAACCATTGAACAGAAATCCCTGGGTTGCATCATAAAATAAGCTGTTTTCAAACTATTGATTAGTGAAACAAAACAAAACTTTTGACTTTCCATTTTAATTTCAAATGCATCATCATATACATGTATTCCGTCGATGAGCATAGAATGATGAACTCAAAATTGATTATCGTGTACGCTAACTTTCAAGTAAGATAAGGACAATGCTCGTGGTAGCTGTCACAAATTTCCATGCGGTGCTAGAGCAGATGTGTGTGCAAAAAAAGGTTTGTCCAATATTTAATCTCTTTGGCATATTCATGGATAAGTATTCGTGCAAATGAAGTTCCTAAGTAAGAAAACTTTCAGGGAGGAACAGTTTTTCATCATTGACAAAAACATAGCAGTGCTTGCAATTGGCTACAGTTCTTAAGCATGTCCAGGATAGTCTTTGATAATTGGGCAATTGTTATGACTAATGTGCACCATAAACAGAGCTTGTCAAGCTATGGGTATTTTGCAATAGAGGAAACCTACATGTTGTCTTTAAGTTGCTTGCATGACCGTCGGAGTGTAAAGGAGTAGATTTAACAATGCAATTTGCTGGACATTAAAAAGTCAATCGCCATACATCAAACCTAGTGTGAAGTAACACAACATCCAGATTCCATATGGCTATCTTCGAAATCATTGCTTCCTCGACACACTTTCCTACTGATTTATCATGTTTCGCAACTGAAGACTCCTAGCAATGGACGAATCGCTCAGCATATGTATTCGCCTAAAATTATCCCAACCCCGCCTATCTATATCTTCAGCCATCCCATAGTCCAATCATTTGGAAGATTGCTTCTCTTATAAGAGCTGACAAGCAACAGTAAGAATGAAAATGCACTACTTAACGAACATCAACAATGTTAGAGACTTTATATATTGCTACCAAGATCATTCCCCACCAAAAAAAACCCATAATCTCTTCTTCTCAGCTGTACTTTGGACATTGTAAATGGGGTACACAACGCATTCAATTAATCAGCACATCGTTATTTTGAATGTATGCTTTTCTAGAGAACGGATTTTTTTTAAGAGAGAGGATAAACTCACATTCCAGTATAAATTCCACTGGGAGCAGAGGCTCGATACATCCCTTTGTTGGTATACAAATCAACCTCCACAGTAGGGATCCCCCTGCTATCTAGGATCTGCCTCGCTTTAATCTTTGTGATTGCCGATGGAACGGCTTTCTTCATGTGATTCGACTGTCGATCCAGACAAAAAAAAAACTCATCGCCCTTGAGAAACCCTAATGTGATGGGAAAATGGTAAAAACATCGATAACTAGGGTTTAACTTACGATGAAGAGAACTGGATCCGGGGTTTTAGCCCTCACTGCAGCATTGACGGCGTCCTCGATCTTTCGAGGGAGCATGTGCTTGTCGAGGTAATCTTGAACTGACATTTTAGCTCGATCTCCAAATCCCTTGGGCTCAAATTTGAAACCCTAGATCCCCTAAGATCTGCGTTGAATTCAACAGCGAGATGATGGGGATTTCAGATATTGGATCATCGAAGAAGAGGCTTTAGAGGTTAGTCCTGTTGAGGGGGATATTTTACCGCAGATCTCGGGGTATCGACAGTGGTGATGAGCAAAACAGTATGGTGAAAACGGAGGAGGGGATGCGTTTAAATGACACGTATAACCTTGCTATTGTCTGAGATTTCGCGAATGGCTCGCTCATTTTCAGGGGTAAACAAGGCTTTTTAAGAGGGTAGTTTCGGAAATCAGAGTGGTGCTTTGTGGATCCTTTGTGGATCTGAATTTGATCCGAAGTTATTAGCTGATAAAAGCGAAATCCGATATTGTCCGGAACGGGTCTACACCCGTCAGCAACCGACCTGCGTTAATTTGTAATATCGGAATAAAGCTTCTGCGTTTTACGGTGGAAAGTACAAAATATTTTTACTGGAATTTTGATGGATTTGATTGAGGTGGGGCAAAATCTGGGTTTTTTAATTTTTTTTAAGGATTGGGTCCTCTTCAAGGGTTGAGGGTTCGAAATTGGACTCGCCCTACAACATAGTATTCCCTGATACCATAATGTTAAAAATTCATTAAAAAATTTATGCCTTAAAAACTCCACATCATTAGGGAATAGGCACTTGAAGGAGATAGTTTATCGTCTTGTCCATTAAGTTCTTTTTTCATGTAATTATCACAATGTGCTTTCGATAATCGACAAAATAATATGTGCGTCATGAAATTGAGTTGTTGCATGCACACAATGATCATTTTAGGTGTTTTCATGTTTTAACCTTTCTAAATGACTTTTAAATTTCCTAATTAAAAAAATACTTTTTGCGGATCATGATCCAAGAAGTATCTAGAAAATATATTCCTACCTTATGATAAACAAGAATAATTATAGGACATATCATTTCAAACCAACCATTACAATCTACATCTTCACATTTTAATAAACCCAAATTCTCATGAATAATTTGCCAATGAATTAAGCTCAAAACTTGCACTAGTTAATGGATATTATACTACATGCAGTCACAGTAGGGCATTGCTTTTGCATGTTGTTTTAATAGCAAATATAGAATTAAAACTTATTTTGATAGCAAATATTTGATAAATATAACATTAGTTTACCAACAGATGTCTAACAATTAACATTTTCTATTTTAGTTTGTCTGATGGATGAAAAGGGGATACATATTTTAATAACCTACACATAATCCTTTAATCAAATTTAGATGTAGCAAACGCAAAAAATATACTTGCTTTTCATTCATTGACCATATCATGACATGATATACCTTAGATCATTCAACACATTGCCTCGTATTGGTATCAAGTAATGGATATGAAAGAATATCGATTACTTGGATAAAATAATCAAGGAAAATTGTAAGTGGATAATCATCTCGAATGTTATAATAAATTATATATGACCAAACATCTACTTTGGCACAAAGAAACTCGTTAAGAAAGTGCTAGTCACTTAATCATATCATATCATACTCCCTTTAAAAGTACGAGTTTAGAAAAATCTTTTGGTAGACAAAAAAATCCTTGAAATTCAAATACAAATCCATTAAGTAAGAGTAAGTTGATAAATTGATGAATTCTTATTGGATATACATAGTATGAAGATAATGATATAGTTTAAATTAAAATGTAAACCCGAATGAAATTATTAAATGCGAAATTTACAAATGTATACAAGATGAATGGCGTATATGTAAAAATCAAACAAATTAGTGAGACAAATAATATCCGCCCCAGAGGTCAAACACCAGAACAGTACAGACCTACAAATGTACCTAATGTGGACGGGGTATTTGCAAAATCCATCAAACAAATTAAAGAGAATAAATCGTTCTTAAGATTATAAAAAAGAAAAATTAAAACAAACGGTTGCGATACGATGACAACGTGACAATCTCTCACCAACTAAAATTCAATTAGTTCACGGTACTGCATATTTAGTTTCAATGTTTAATTATACTATTATTAATTAAATAGAATTCTATATACAATTGTTATCCTCTCACACGCAACATCACATATCAATGTTTATAAGCCAAAAAACTACAACAATTTTCGTAGCACTTTCACCTCCTTCTATATGTATATGCATTTGTTATTTTCTTCTTATTAGATTAGATTAGATTAGACTATTTTAAAGTAATTAATTATATTGTATATTTATTTTTTCTATATCAAGAAATATAAACATATTTCACATCACTTTCATTTATTTTCTTCTTATTAGATTACATTAGATTATTTTAAAGTAATTAATTATATTGTATGTTTGATATTTTTATTAGATCAGAAATTACAATAATTTTCATAACACTTTCATCTCCTTCAACAGGTATGTGCCTTTGTTATTTTATTCTTATTAGATTAGATTAGATTGTTTAAAAAATATGAATTATGAAATTGCAATAATTTTCACATCATTTTCATCTATTTTATTCTTATTAGATTAGATTAGATTATTTTAAAACAATTACTTAGGTTGTATGTTTGATCTTTTTTTTAAATCACAAAGTTTAATTATACTATTATTATTTAAATAGATAATGTTTGTATAAAAATCAAAGAGAATCTCACACATATCCTAAATCTTAATGTCAATTGTAATATTTACACATTGGTGTTGGTTAAAATAAATTTCATGTATGGGCTTAACTTATATAATCCTACTTTAACCAAATTAGATAATTTATTTTTTTATCACCCAAACTCTTTGACAAAACAAAAAAAGAATAGCAATGCTATAACTATATATATTCGCGGGACCACATATATCTTGAAAATGAATGAAGAAAATCACACAAACAAAAACCATATTAATTACCCACACGCAGCCACTATTTTCAAAATCACCATTCTCCATCTCCATCTATTGTATATCCACATACCAAATTAAACTGTTGTAGTTTCTCCTCACAAACTACACTATTGATCAACCCGCCTTTTTCCTTTGTTTTTAAATTGTATAACATTCATTGCGATGAAGACTCACATGGGTCCTCTACCTGCCTTGAACATCCAAAAAAATTTAGGCCTTATAGTTAGTTAATAATGACATCCTATCATTATAAACAAACTAAGTAAAGATTAATATTTCTTAAGAATGTACTACGTTCCCCTATCTTCCACTACAAAATTGTTAGTTGTTTATACCTGCCCACAAGAGATTTTTAAAATTAATCATCTATTTCATAATTTTTTTAAAAATGTTTAAACGAAATTTATGACAAATATAATAATTCATGTTTATAGTTTTTAACTCAAAATGAATCTGTCTTATTTTATAGTAAGAAATTAACAAAAAAATAACACGTGCATTACACGTATAGAAGAACTAGTTTCTTTATAAAATTCCGAAAGTCAACAAATTTAAAAGCAAAACCTACTCCAAAACCAGCCACACCCTTTTTTAATAGAAGAGGGAAAAAAAGAAAAAGATAAGAAAATCAATCCCTTCAGTAAATATCTCAATATGCTTTCAACATCTCAGATCCAAACATTTTCTAACTGGATCGGATCCAAGTGAAGTTCCAAACCCATCTAAAATTATCTTCACTCGGCAAAGGCGAGCATCTTGAAAAGAAATTGCCCGCTATCATCCATTCCCCGCCCCCGCCACTCTCTCTCTCTCTCTCTCTCTCTCTCCCTCACCTTCTAGGGTTTTACTCCTGCTCCCATGGCCGCCTCAATTACAACCCCCTCAATTTCTCCACCGATCGCCAAAATCTCCTCTCGATCGATCAAGCCTCAGCGCTTGACCGAGCTTCCTCTTCGCCCGATTGATCGAAGGGGTCTATCGGTTCGATGTAGCTTAGATTGGAGCTTGGTCAATGGATCCGGATCTGGATCCGCTGCTGAGTGTCGTGGGAGAGAGAATGAGCAGTTCGTTGGCTGGTTTCGAGAGGCTTGGCCTTATATTAGAGGTCACAGAGGGAGCACTTTCGTGGTTGTGATATCGGCAGAAATTGTGGCTAGTCCTCATCTCGATGCCATTCTCCAAGTAATTGTTAATCGATTTGATGATTTTTGTGGTTTTAGATGCCATACTCATGAGACTTGTGATTGTTTATTTATCCATTTATTTTCCCGAAACAATGCAGTTTTAGAATAAGGCACAATAAGCTATATCTGGTGCTGTTGTAATCTCAAACCGAAAGTGTATGAAGTGTTTATCGTTGGTGGAATTAGTATAGCTCTAATAAGCTGCTTGACAATCTTTGATTGAGCAAAATACCACATGGAGCAGTACATTCGCCTTAATTTGAGGGGTAATAGGTTTTCGTTCAAGGTTCAAGCATATTGTTAAATTCTTCATAGCTGCGAGAAAACAGGACAGTTTGGTAGATACATAATACGGGTCGTTCAGAATTAAGAGGACGATTAAGATTATAGCATACTTATCAGACCTTTTAGCCGTCACTGGTACTTTAGAGTTTAGACGTGAACAATGCCGACTCTCTAAGGTAAGCAATTAAAAAGTTAGAAACCTGGCTGGACAGCCTTCTGTTCCCAACCTTTCTTGTAGGTTGCACGTGCCACTGCCCAATTCTGCCTATGATCATTAATTTAATGGAGGAGATAACTCTCAACAGAACTGAATAGAAGAGTAGGATTCATATAGCTGACCCCAAAAATTTGGTATAAAGGCTTTGTTCTTATTGTTTTTTATATAATAATTTGCATGAGAAATCACTTGGTGCACATGGTTCTGTTATGGATCGCATGCTAGTTTATTTACTTTATGATGTTGGGGTGGATGAACGTAAACCTTTAATTGTTTGCTGATCTTAGTTAAATCTGTGAGACTTGTTATTGTTAATGATACCTCTTAGCAGTATTTTTTGCAACTCTTATTTTTCACGATTATCGTCTTCAGATGCTTTCTTTATGTGCATATTTGCATACAGGACATATCTCTCCTCCATGGTATGGGTATCAAGTTTGTGCTCGTTCCTGGGACCCATGTCCAAATTGATAAGCTTTTGGCAGATAGAGGTTAGTAGGAAGATATGGTATATAATGCTTACTATATTAACTACTTATGTTACTCAAAAACAATATATATATATAATCTATTGTTTTTATTATGTTCTGAAACTCCGGGTCAATCTATTAGACGTTGTTATTATGTATTAACTATGATAAGCTCTACTTGATAAGAAATTGATGTCAAACGCACATCCTATTTGATGTAGACCTTTGCTTTTAGTCATTTTGCCATCTATGCCTTGGACAGCTTAACTTTATCACTCAGAGCCCTTTTTGATCATGCGGTACTCTCAAACTATTATCTGGCACTTGGTAGATATTATATTGGCTGATTGAATATTACAAAACAGACACTCAAAAAGTTGGCATTTCAGCTAATCAATATATTTTCTAGAAAACCTACAGTTTATTCTCATTTTATGTTATGATAAATTCTCTTAATTACAAACTTACCTTTAGACATTGACCCGCCTAAAGTACAGAATCTTATGCAACTGGGAAAATTTTAAATCATTTATAAATCACTCAAGCGAAATTGGTTCTCCATTTCCTTTCCAATGTATAGAAGAGAAGGAATAGTTTGAGATGTTGAAGTGAACGTCTGGTCTAAAACACTTTTCACAAAGAATATTATTTAAACTAAATGAATTTCATGATGCCTTAGTTGTTACTTTTCATGCTTATAGCATAAATGCTTATAGCTCAAAGTGCACACTGAATAATTCCAAAAGATATAATTTCTTGTAGATGGGGCAAACTAGTTAAGGTCTATTGTAAAATTTGAATTATTAATTATAGTGCAATATAGTAATTTTTTAAATTTAAGTTGTGCAGTTTTCGTGGCTTAAAAGAGTTTGTCGTTCAAGTTGATATCCCTGAAATCAAATTTCTCTAGGTGGCATTAACTTTATTTTGGTTGAAAGTCTGTTAGATATCATGATGCACAGTGCATGCATGTCTAATTGTCTCTTGGCTAACTCTCTTTACTAAAGCAGTTCTCTGCTGAATCCTTTCAGGAAACAAGGCCAAATATGTTGGTCCATACCGAATTACAGATTCTGATTCATTAGAGGCAGCTATGGAAGCGGCTGGAAAAGTTCGTCTTACAATGGAAGCAAAGCTTTCTCCTGGACCTCCTATACTGAACCTTCGTCGACATGGTGATAATAGCCGTTGGCATGAGCTTGGAGTTTCTGCTGCAAGTGGCAACTTCCTTGCAGCTAAGGTAATTGTGCTTGTACATAATATTCAAAATTGCTATTGATGCTCTTGAAATATGTATGAAATACTGATTTTGTAAAATTGTAGTAAATAAGGCAGATGGGTTTAGAATCCATTTGATCATGAATATTTGCCCTTTTGTCTAAGGT